GAGGTGGGTTTGTTTTCGAACTAAGTGAATTTTAAAATCATACAACATTATATATATACAGGGGTTGGACAAAAATATGGAAACACCTTTAAAAAAACATGTTTCTTTGCTTAATATGGTGTAGGAAACCCGTTGGCATCCAAAACAGCTTGCAGTCTTCTCGGAATGGATAAATACAGTTCCTGTATGTTTGCCAAAGGAATATTATACCATTCTTCCTGCAAAACGGTGGCAAGTTCAGGTAACGATGTTGGAGGTGGATAACGAGAGAACGCACTTTCCGTTCCAATGTAGACCACAAAGGTTCGATAATATTCAGGTCTGGTGACTGTGGTGGCCAGGGGAGATGGGACAACTCATCCTCGTGCTCAGAAAACCAGTCCTGGACAATGTGAGCTGTGTGAACAGGGGCTTTGTCGTCTTGGAAGACACCATCACCATCGGGAACAAAGTTTGTACCATGGGATGAACTTGATCGGCCAAAATGTTCACATAAGTCTTGGCAGTCATGTGCCCTGACACAGTTATCATGGGGCCAGCAGAGAACCACGATATGGCTGCCCAAACCATAACAGAACCCCCGCCATGTTTCACTCTTGGCAACAAGCAGTCTGTATTATAGGCTTGAGATGGCGTTCTCCAGACGTAAACTCGGCCAGAAGTGGGAAACAATGTGAAAGAAGACTCGTCAGACCATATTACTCGCTTCCACTGCTCTATAGTCCAGGCTTTATGACTTAAACACCACCTTTTCCTGTTACGGGCATTAGCATCACTGATGAGTGGCTTCTCAATTGCAGCACGGCCAGCAATTCCCTGTTTATGAAGCTCCCTTCTAATTGTTTTGGTACTCACAGGGTTCGGTAACACAACATTCATTTCAGCAGTAACTTTTGCAGCTGTGGTCTTCTTATTTTTCGTCACAATTGCCCTTAATGATCGTCTGTCACGATCACTCAGGACACACTTTCGTCCGCGCTGTGATTTAGCAGATGATGTTTTTTCCGCTTTTCAAATATGCGGAATAAATCTTTCGATACAGTACCTCTTGAAACACTAAACACCTCGGCTACCTTGCTTACGGAAGCACCTACCATACGTGCTCCAAACAATTTGCCCACGTTCGAAGTCTGTTAACTCTGACATAATGCAATGACAAACCTCACATAACAGTACTCCGACAACAACAACTGAAACTGTTTAGCACATTTACGAAGTTGTATAGGTGGCGTCAGTAGTCTAAAAGGCCAGCGCCACCTACATATTTCATTAAAATCAATCTTTCTTTTCAAACATGCATTTCACAAGGTGTTTCCATATTTTTGTCCATCCACTGTATATATATACGTTTGATGCTGCAGATTGCAATAAAAAAGGGAGATGTACAGCTGGGTGTTATAATAGTCCTATACAAAAGTTTAACATTATGGTGCTAATCGTTTTTAAGTTTTTCGAGACAAATGCACACATACATACGCAAGGACAGAAGTCACGCAAACAAATCGTCGAAATGTATTCGGAAAGATATTTCTGTTAAAATATGGTACCGAAAGTTTTCGCGATTACAATACTTTCTTTAATTCCCTCAAGGAATTAAAAAAGGCACTTAGCTTGATTTTGATGCATTATGCAAGTTCTAGTAAGTGTGCTTTGACTCATTCAAATGAATTAAAACTCATCCTATGAGGAACCTTAAAATGTTATGAATGAGAACTTAAATTAGTAAAGTAGTAATGGACAATTATTTTTATTGAAATTTCATTTTAAGTACTTCTTTGTAATTTCTAATACTCATTAATAGAATAAAACATACACACACATATGCATATACGTATATTTATGCAACAGAAAAGAGGTAACTTTTAATTTAAGCCAAATGTTTAGGTTGCTTGCCTTAAAATATACAGGAAAGTCCTATGCATTTCGAGAATTTGAGATAAGATTCCCTTAGATAAACAAGATTACTTTAATCTGGTCTGTTAAAAGTTGATTGCTTAAAAAGTAAATAAAAATAAATATACAAGTTAAAGCAACAATATTATCAGTATTATTGAGCTAAATAGGAAGAAGATCTTCTCTTCTAAGCAAGATTGAAAATGAGACAAGACATTTAAATACTTATGATAGTGCAAGATTGGAATTAAAATCTAAGATAAATTTAATATGTTTTTGTGAAGTTTAAAAAAATTAAGGAAAACTAACTCACAAAATTAAGAAATCTTTTCCGACAACTTTGTCATAGGAAAAGTGATCATATGAATGGTCAAGAAATTGTGTATTTGTTAAAGGATGAAAATTTCTCATCCTTACTTTTTTATGTTTAATGCTTCATTTCCATGTATAGACTTATATGCCTTTTAAATATCTAACATCAACATATGATGTATTCCCACGGCAAACTTTAATTAAAATAATCTACTGAACAAAATAAGTGAAAATTCATAAAAAGCAAAAGTACAATAATAATTTATGCTTTTCTTGCCCTTGAATTTTTAAAACTCTTATCATAGAGCACTCTTAGAAGATCTTATTTCGCTCAGGGTTCAATAACTTGAAGATTATTATTATTTGAACATGTTTTGCTTTTTAAGTTAAAGGCGAAACGTTCAAAAATGCTTTTTTCTTCCTTGTAGACAGCACTCTTCGATTAACGATGACAATAGTCATCCCATCTTTCCCAACTTAAAAAGCTGCGTGGATTTTCCATGAATTCAGTTTTAAAGTTATATGCTCATCTACCAAAGAAAGTTATGATTCACTTCTTAAGACCTCGATATCGTATTTTGAGTCATGGCAGATTTTTTAACTTTCATCCAACGGTCGAAGTTACAGAAATCTTTAAATTTTTTGCATTAAAACCGATGAAAGGAAAATAAATCTCTGATCACTGCAGGTCCCATAGTCATATGTGTAAAGTTTTCGTGTGTTGAAAATGTTAAAAAATCTTTAGTTGACGAATTAAAATTTTTTGTAGCTTTTCGCATTCACCCAAATCCATCATTATATTAGTTAATGATTTTAAATCCAACGTGTTCTTCCAGAAGTGTTTGCAAACTTTATCTCATAATTCTCTCGGTCTTCTCCTTTCTGTTTTGCCTAACATATGGCGTCATATCAACTGCTTTTATATTTGTTGTTTTTCTTTCATAATTAAACAATAAAAGAATGATATAATATAACTTGCTTTTTAAGGAAAGAAACCTGCGTTACATACAAATTCCTTGGTCAAATGTAAGAAAATTTCTAATATTTCCTCCAATTAAAGCAACATAGTATTTTTAGTAAAAATAAAACAATGTAATACTGCATCCAAACGAGTTTATTTATTAAGAACGTTTTATTTCGTATTAACTTAAAAAAATAATCGTAAGAAACTAAGAAAAGGCTGCTTAAAACTGTACTGAGAATATACAAGTTAACATTCTCCTACTGGCATTCTTGTGAAACTGCAGCTAGTTTGAGATTATACTGCTAATTAGATATTAAATAATTTTAAATATTTTTGGTAGTTTTCTTATTTCTATTTCCAAATGGACATTCAGGTAATTTCTCACATTATGTTTTATCTTCATAACTAATTGGAAGCTGAATATGCAATAGCTAGCTCTGTCAAAAATAAGAGTAAAGTGTCACTTAAATTCTTGTTCTAATTATTTTATTAGTTTCACATTAGTTATATATTCATAGTTGATTTTTCTTTCAATCATTAGTTCTGAAAACATGGTAATGAATGTTAAAGAAAGGTAATAAAATCATTCGATGATTTATTTGTCCACCAGTTTTGTAAAATGATATTTCCTATGTAAATACTTATTTCTTTCGCATCCCTTATTTGAAATCTAATGAACATGTAAGAAGAAATTTATTCAGTCCATGTTAATGTCCCATATAATGTTATTCAGCCTATTCAAATATTTATATACTGAAGGCTCCACCGAACAAATATCGATGCCACATCATAATCAAATTGTTTAAAGAAATGTATTTTCATAATAATGCTTGTAGAAAAAAATATTAATAATGAAATTGGAGATTAATTACTGGTCAATCCAAAGAAATTTAAGTTTTGATATTTATGAAGAATGAGACTGAAAAAAGATAAATATTGGTTTTGTTTTTTGGCGATGTTATATAGAGATATGTTTTTTGGCGATGTTATATATAGAGAGGTGTAATGGAAAGTAAAAGGAAAGAAAGACTGGAAAACACCTCTAATTTGATTTTAACTGTATGGAGATTACTTCTAGCATAATTTGAACGTAATTAGATTGCTTTTTGAAAACATCTTTGAGTAAATCAACAAAGTAAATAATGAAATCAGTCGGGAGATAAAGAAAAATTATTTGATCTTTGTAAAATTTTGGACTATGATCTTAATAATTATTTTGTACAAATCCTTTGCCCTTTCTTAAGTACCTGAATTTGCAGCAGCTGGAGTCTTTTAGTACCACAACTATTAAATGTTACAGTTTCTTTATTACAGGTGAAGAAACTTTCATAATTTTATGTTTCATTGGAGCTACAGAATGCATACATTGATAAATAAACTTTCTGTCTAGTGATAAACAAGCGTTAAGTAAAGGTTTTTCTAACGACAAACTTACATTTTGTCTGATGACAAACAACGCTAACAATAACTAAGTTTTTAATTCTGTACCCACACTTAGCTAAGAAATTTCTGAATATTCTCCATACAATTTCAAATTTTAGCATGTAGTTGCTTATAACAATTTTCTAAGGTTTAATAGGATGTAAGATACTTTCAATAAATAAATTCGCTTAATTGCAGTATAACATTGTATTATTTTTATTAGAAAAACTGTGCTGCGGTAAGTGAAGGATATTTAAGAAATTATTTATTTTTGAAAAACAGCAATTAATTAGCAGGAAAGATCTTATCGTGTCAAGTTAGAGATAAATGGCTTATCAATATGATTAAAAGGAAAACATTAGTTCAAGCCTGACAATTCTTATGGTAAAAGCTTAGCTGTAAGACTTACCTGTAAACGAATCAGCGTGGATGGGGCGACATCACAATCTTGCCGGCAGATGAGGAGGCGTCGGACTGTGTGCGAAAGCATCTGTTCTAGTCCCCGGAACTATGCTCACGCCATTGTCAAATTAGGATGTGACGTCATTCAGGGATCTTAACCCCTTTCAGAATTTTCAATTTGACACTAGAATGGACCACATTGGGCCAGAGAATGGTTTGTTGGATCAAGTAGCCTATACGAAGCCGCTCTGGTGAGTCTTTGCAGGTACTTTCTTTTCAGGAGATCGCCATCATTGCTGTGGAGAGACTCCTGTGGGTTCCCGGGGGTTTAGGGTTGGGAGGTAGGAGGAGAAGAGTAGGGTGTTCGCGCTGTTGCGCACGTGGTCTGCTTTCGACGTCATCGGGCGGGAAGGCGTATCTGGGATCTAGTTGCCAGGGGCAACTGCGCCTTTTCCCGGCATGCTGCGCAAAGGGCGAAGATGGCTCCTTTCTATCAAAGAAGGTGCTTGCAGGAATCGAAGGTGTGTGCATGTCACTCAAGCCCCCATCCCGAGCAGAGGGGATGAAGTGGCATTCTGGGACGTGCCTCTTTATCAAAACAAACTGATTAATTGCAGATGACACTTAAAATAACAGCGTTTAATAATAAAGAGAATGAATTGTTTTCGGAAACATTACGCAATAAAATTTCAATAAAATCAACTGAATAATGAAAAGTAGAGTTTGGAACTGTGTTAATATTTTTGAAAATTAAACTTCAATCCCTCTCTTTTATCTGCGCATTCTCCAGTATCAGCTTATCGAAGTTCTTCTTCTCCCGGCCCTAAATTAAGTGCTTTAGTTCTAGAAAAGTTATTCTAAAATAAAAATGTTGTTTTATAAGGTATTTCTCCCACCTTCATAGCGTGCCTTCGTGGTGTGGTAGTCTGTAAACAGGGCGAGTATTCCAGAAGTCCGTGGTTCGATTATCGGGGAAGGCGTTGCTCATTTTTCATCACTTGCCTGCTTCCAATTAAGCTAATGTCTCTACAGTGGCGCCCGAAATAAAAGGGTTGTGGATGATGAATCACCACACCCAGGATTTGGCGACTGGGTCCCCTAAAAACACCAGTCGCCCTTCAAAAGGGGAAATATATAAGGTATTTCTCCCGCCTTCCTAGCGTGCTTTCGTGGTGTGGTGGTCTGCACGCTGGGTGCGTATTCCAGAGGTCCGTGGTTCGATTCCCGGCAAAAGCGTTGCTCATTTTTCATGACTCCTGCTTCCAAAAAATATCCTAATATCTCTACAGTTTCACTCTCAACAGATATAGATCTCTACAGTTTCACTCTCAACAGTAGAGATACTCTCAACAGTATCTCTACAGTTCTCTTTATTATTTAGAAGCAGAATAAGTCAAATCAAAATTTCTAATATAAAGGAAGATATGCAGGTTTTCGAGAGTATCAGATGAATTTTTGAGCATAATTGAACAATGGCGTTAAAAAAGTTTTTATTCAGTATCATAAAACTAATTTATAAGAAATTTTTTTGACATTTTCTACTGAGACAGCTATAGTTTAGCAGAAGAATTTATTGGCAACCTTTATTAAAGTTCGTTTGAAAGCTCATTTTTATAAATCGCGAGGTTTATTTTTTATTATTTTTAGTTCAAAGAGGCTTTGTCCCTGAAGGACTATTATTTTCGTTTTGCGATTTTGCGTCGATTCACTACAAACGGCGAATCACTTTTCAAATGTTGCCCAAAGTATTATGCCCTGTGTTACATTTAAAGAATTATTAATGAAAAATTGCTAATGTATATCATTCTCGCATTATGATAAAAAACGGTACAATAGCCATCGAATTTGAATGCGTAATCCTCCTGCAAATGGGGGAGACAAATTGAAATTTGGAATGTTTATGATCGATTTTCTTATGAAAACTTTACGATTTTTTTTTATAACTCCGATTTCAAAACGAGAAATGACAACGTTGTACAGAACAAACGCGTGAACTCTGTATGGGAAATCTAAGATATGCTCATTTAAAATTAGGACATTGCTATTGAATTATTTCAGGTTTAGTGCGAAGAACGTGATATTTATAATGAATAAATTAATAAATATATAATTTATATAAATGTAACACACAAAATGGTAAAAAAAAAGGCGTCTTTGGACGTAATATAAAATCTGAAACATTTCAGATTTTTTTATTATATATTATATATATATATTTTTTATCATGTGTAACATCAATGCGAGTCAATTTCGTTCAGAAAATCCGGTTCTTAATCATTCTGCCTTTTAAGGAAACAACGTTTATGCCATTTGCCGTATTTAACTAAACGAAGCATTTTATTAACTGCATAAATGAGTTATGTAATCAGAAAATAATTACTTTGCATCTAAAAGAGATTTAATTGTTTTAATAGCTAACGTATTTATATATAACACATTTTGATTTAGTTTAAACAAAAATTTATTCTCCTACAGAACGAAAGTTACATGATGGAAATGCAGACATAATTTTGATCTGTATAGTTGAGTTTTTTTTTTTCTTTTTAAAAGAACAAGATAAAAAAAACCTAAAGAAATGCAGTATAGAAAGCTCACTAAAATATAGATGTAATTTTGATGGAAGTAAATGAAGATTTTTTTTCAGGAAAAAAATTGGTAAGTTTTACGTGAGTGAATAAAAGAATATTTAAGAAACAGTATATTTTGAGAAGTAGGTGTCTCATTTGTTTTTTCATTTATCTGTTTCAGAATTTTAAAAGAAATTTTTGAAAATTTAAGTAAGTGTAAAAATGCATGCTTTCTAAATTAGAAGTATATACAGCTGGAGGTCTATAAAGCTTCCTATGAGTAATTTGGATTTCATTTTCAGTAATAACAGTCTTCAGTGGATAAAAAATTTCTCTATTCCTTGTGAAACTTCAAAGTAATCTCTCAGACATTTGTTATAACCTTAATAAATATTGAGATTCCATTTTTTATTGTTTATTAGTCCGAAATTTCGAGAGAATTCTTCATTTGTATGGACTTTGCCCCATGTGTGTGCAGTTATTCAGAGAATCAGATTGCTTTAATTTTGCTATTGAATTCATATATAATTACCATAGGTTGTTTATAATTATGTATGATATCTGAGAAATGCAAAAGGCAGTTAAACTAATATTTAGCAGCATATAATTCAGTTTAAAATAACTTTTTAGCCCAAAGTAGCTTTAGCTCAGAAAGGGTATTAATTTCGTTTTGGCATTTGCGTTGGTTCACTATAAAAGTCTGAATCCCTTTTCAAATTGTTGCCACGAACTATTACAGCCATGCACTATGCAGCCAAGATGAAATGCATTATGCAGCCAAGCCTGCATAATGCATTTCATCATTTTAAATATCTGCAATGACAAGTCCTTATATAAATTTTTAAGAAATTAAATAATGAAGTGTATGCATGAATGTATGAATGTTTCTTGCATTGTGTAAAGAAAACGGTACTTAGAGACATCGAATTTTGAATAACGTAGTCCTCCACTCGAATATGGGCATCTGGAAATTTGGAATTTGTTTTATTATGTATTTGAAAATTTTCAAAACTTTAACAAATTTTTGATTAACAAACTGAACGATTTCAAAGCGTTCCATTAACATTAACATAGCGTGCATCTTCCAAGTATAGATATTTTATGCGCGAGGCTTCTTTTTTGTGATATTGCTGTTGAATTGAATTTTATGGTTTAATTGCGAAGAACATGAAATTTAATAAATAAAGGTAACATACAGAACATTTAAAAAAACGGCGTAATATAAAATCTGAAATTGAATCCTTACCTATATTCTGAAAAATCCACCCATTAATTATCAGGTTTCAAATTATGAACAAAAATATGTAACATGTACTGCCTAGATGGTTCAATGTTTTAAGTATTATTTACCGCACTTAATAAAAATAAATTTGTTGTAAATGTTCACAGTATTCTAATCGGATTCTGAAAGGAAGGTGCTAATTGCAAAAGGCTTTGTAAAAATTAAAAAATTACACTAAACATGACATTTTACACACTTGCTATGATGTTGTTAACATATTAGATGCATGCGCACGACAATAAGCACTAACACAAATGCACTAAATTATGTAATTTTAAATTTTTTTTCCAACAGCTAATCCAAAACTATCATCCCTCAAGTTTCATATCTCTTTCATTTTTAATTTGCGTGTTGCTACTTGCTACATATGAATTTTAATACACTTAATACGTACTTAATGAAAACTAACTATACATTAGTTTAATGACTTTTAATTAAAATGATAACCAGTATTTTACTTACGATGCAACATTTACTTTCTAAATAAATACAAAACTATTTAATATTTTCATTAAAAGATTAATAAGAATAATTATAGTAGTCACTTAATTAATAAAATTATAATAAAATTCTTACAAATGTCACTCTCATTTTCCCTATTCAAACATAATTCGAAATATATTTTTTCCCCAATACGCTGTTACCATTTGCCAAGAAAATGTATGTATCTCAATCTGCTGTAGATCTGATCATCTGAATTAATTCTGTAAGTTTTCATTAATGTAGTTTTACTAAGCTTTTCCATATCTGGTTAGTTTTTAATTTATGTTTTCTTGACTTTATTGCTTATAAGATTTGAATATATTCATATTATAAAAGGAGTGCGATTTACCAAAGCTTTAATGCACATAATGTAGTTAGATTTAACTTTTGTACAAAACTAAACTATTGTACGCAAAGAATACGTTTAAAAGAAAGAAATTAATAAGTCATCCATTATCAATCCCGCAATACCAGTTATGTAATATATTGATCTACCATTTATGTAGTTTCGTAACATGGTCTCAGCGAAGTTTTTTAAATTTCTTATTTGTTAAAAAACTAATAAATGCTAAAAAATATTTTAGAATTATTCATATTATATACTGTTTCTAATCTACATACAAAGTTACGTAATTTAAGCTTGCGTATGGCATCATACCTCTCCTTCCGTTCTTCGTTATCTATTTTGTATTCATTTTAGGATGAGAAAAATATTTCTTTTATTAAGCTGTAAATGGAAATAAGGAAAAAATCTAATATATAAATACATGTGAAGAGTTTAAGAGTTAAGTAATTATTTTCCGTTCGTGAGCGAAACGGATTGGCACATACATTTTTATTATCTCAATCAACAATAGGAGGAAAGCTTTCTCTTAGGATGATTGATCCATATACTTTACTCTCCGTACGCAAGGCCCCCTTTCATCCCGTAATGCCTAAAAATAATGAAGTCCAATCAGCTCTTCACTGACTTTTGGAATCTGTAT